TTCTAGTTTCTTTGCATTGGATCAGCTTGTCAATAACTACCAAAAACAAAATAAAGTAAAAAAAAAAACCAAAAAAAAACCAAAAACACCCTCACAAACCCCTTCAGGGATCTTACTTGGGATTGCAATGAATCTACAGATCAATTTGGAGAAAATTGATGTCTTAAGCATTTTGAGACTTTAGACTCATGAGGCTGTATTTATTTAAATCTTGTTTAATTCCTTTCAGCAGTGTATTATAGTTTATAATGTGTGGGTCTTGCATATCTTCAGTCAGACTTAGCCTTCATATTTAATATTTCTCGAAGCTAATGTAAATAGTGATTTTAAAATTTCAATTTCTAAACTTTCAATGCCAGTGTAGAGAAATAGAATTTATTTTTTTAATTGGTCTTATATCCCAAAGTCTTGTTAAAGACATTATTATTTCTAGAGGTATTTTGATAGGTTTCATGGAATTTTCTAAATAGACAATCATGTTATCTATGAATAAAGACAGTTATACATTTTACTCTCTAATTTGGGTGTCTTTAATTTCCTTTCCTTATCTCATTGTATTTGTTAGAATATCCAGTACAATCTTGAATAGGAGTCAGAGTGGACATCCTCGCTTTGTCCTGATCTTAGGGGAAAAACAATTTTTCATCGTCAAGTACCGTACTAACTAAACCTTTTTTTTTTTTTTTTGGTAGATGCCCTTTATTAAGTTGGGGAAGTTCCTTCTTTTCCTAGTTTACTAAGAGCTTTGATCAGAAATGAATACTGTATTTTGTTCAATGCTTTTCCTGTATCTATTAAGATGACCATAAGTTTTTTCTTTTGTAATATGATATATTAATTTTCTGGAGCTGCTCTAACAGAGTACCACAAACTGCATGGCTTAAAAGAACAGAAATTTATTTTGTCACAGTTCTGGAGGCTAGAGGTCCAAAATCCAGACGTCAGCAGGGCCATCCTCTCTCTGAAATTGCATAGAACCCTTCCTTGCTTCTTCCTAGCTTCTGGGGGTGACCATCAGTTCTTAGAACTCCTCAGCATGCAATGCATCGTTCCAACCTCTGCCTCTGTTGTCACGTGGTGTTTTCCCTGTGTGTCTCTATCTTCACAAGTTTTTCTCTTATGAGGACTGACCCAAGTCATATTGGATTAGGACCTACTGTAATGATCTCATCCATAATTGATTACATCTGAAAAGACCTTATTTCCAAAGTAGGTCATATTCACAGGTACTGGGGATTAGGATTTCAATTTATCTTTTGGGGGGGACACAAAACCTATGACATATGTTTTACCAATTACATTGGTAAATTTTAAAATGTCAAACCAACTTTACATCCTTGAGAAAAACCTACTTGGTTATGATGTATTATTTTTTTAATTTTTTTTTATTTTTAGAGTGGGGGAGGGAGGGTACAGTGGTGCAGAGGGAGAGGGAGAGAGAATATTAAGAATATTAAGCAGCCCCATGCCCAATGTGGAGCCTGACATGATGCTTAACCAACTGAGCCACCCAGGTACCCTTGTATTATCTTTTTTTATATATTATTGGATTTAATTTGCTAAAGTTTTGTTATGAATTTTGCATTTATGTTCATGAAAGATTGTGGTCTACAGTTTTCTTTTTTTTTTCTTCTTTTAATTGGACTTTATTTAGTTTTGGCATAAGATTAATGTTGGCTTTACAGAAATAGTTGGGAAATATTTCCTCTTCTTCACTTTTCTGGAAAAGTGGGTATAGGATTGGTATTATTTTTTCTTTAAATGTTTCATAGAATTCACCAGTGAAGCCACATGGATCTTGAATTTTCTTCATGGGAAACTTTTAAGCTACAAATTTAATTTCCTTAATAGATATATGGCTATTTAAGTTATCTGTTTCTTCTTGAGTAAGCTTTAGTAGTTTGTGTCTGTCAAGGAATGCGTCCATTTTATGTAAGTTGTTAGTTTATTGGCATACACTGTTCATAATAGTCCCTTTTATTCTTTTAACATCCCCATTATCTCTAGTGATTTCACCTCTTTCATTCCTAATAGTATTTTGATTCTTCACTCTTATTACCTTATTTCAGTCTGACTAGAGGTTTATCAATTTTATTGATCTTTTCAAAGAGCTCACTTTTGGTTTCATTGATTTTTCTCTCTTTATTTTCATTTATCTATTTCATTGTTTCTGCTCTTTTAAAATTCTGTTCTTACAGGTTTCATTTGCTCTTAAGGTAGAGCAGGAGATCACTAGTTTGAGATCTTTCTTTTTCAAAGTAGATATTTTAGTACTCTAAATTTCCTTCTAAACACTGCTTTAGCTGTTTCCCACAGGTTCTTATATGGTGTGTTCATTTTTATTCACTTTAAAATGCTTTCTAATATACCTTTTAAGTTCTTAGTTGAACATGGGTTATTTAGAAGTATGTTATTTGGTTTCCAAATATTTGGGGTATTTCCCATATATTTGTCATTGATTCCTAGTCTAATACCATTATGCTCAGAAAACATACTTTGTATGATTAAAAAAAAACAAAAATTGAGGTATAATTTGCACAATACCACTTTGCATTGTGTTAATTCTTTTACATTTGAGACTTGTTTTATGGCTTAACGTATGGTTTATCTTGTTACATGTTACCTGTGTACTTGAAAAAAACGTGTATATGATATTGAGTGGAGTCTATTCTATAAATGTCAGTTAGGTTAAATTGGTTGATTGCACTGTTCATATTCTTACTGATGATCTGTCTCCTTATTCTATCAATTATTGAGACAGATATTAAAATGTCTGACTATAATTATGAATTTGTCTACTGCTCCTTATAGTCCTATCAGTTTTGCTTCATATATTTTGAAACTCCCTTATTAAATGCAAAAGCTCTTTGAATTGTTACGTCCATCTGATGAATTAGAAATGTCCCTCTTGATCTCTGGTAATACCCTTTGCTCTGAAATCTTCTTTGTCTAATAATAATATAGCTACGAACACTTAAAATATTTAATAAAAATTGCCAAATTTCCTCTCAAAAATTGGTATCATATAAGGTTGCCCCCATTCTAGTCCACATTTATTGAGACTTTGATACGAACCTTCCTCTAAACATGTAACGTTTCTTCTGAATTTGGGATCAGCTAATACTCTTGCCAGCCTTTTGGTTCTCAATATGCACAATGGTGGCTGTTGATAACAGTTCCGTCATTATGTGTGGTTGTGGGAGGATAGCCAGGGTTTAGGCAAGAGGTTAAGGGGAGGCAAAATTTAGAAAAGACAAATAAGAAATACTTTCATTGTCAAAGAAGATGGCAGACAAGGGATTGTCTGGATGCTTTCAGGCATTTCAAGATACCAGGGGCAGATGAATTAGATCTCATGGCAGTGATCTCAAAGTCACTATTCATAATTTTTAAGAAATGAAACCTGATAGATGTATCCAGGACTGAAGACAGGCAACTGTATTTATATTTTTAGTGGGTTAAAAAAAAATGTGTGACATTCAGTAAAGAAAGTGATGAGTACAGGGAGCTAGAAAGGATTCACTAAAGATGTCATTAATTCATTCTATTTGCTGTTAGAGGTAACCTCTCAGTAGATCTGGAAAGGTCCCAGGAGCTTTGATTCAGAGAAAGGTAGAACCAAATAGGTTGCTAGAGATAAATAGATCCAGGAGATTCTGGCTGGTAGGTAGCAGGCCATCAACTTTAGACCAGGACCTGGTTTTCCTATTACGTGTGTTTTAACACATTAGGTCAGGACACAGCCTCTCCATCTGCCTGGATGAAACAGCAGCAACACCTCCCAACACACCACATTAAGTACTTAGGTCTGTAGGCTCTGCAGTCACTAGAACTATAAACAGAATACTGGCTAATTATTGTTTAATTATTGCTTAAAAACCAATTGGCACAATACAATCACTGCATTAATTACCCCATACAGCATCTGCTTTCTTTTTTGCTGTCATCCCCATTCCTCCCTAGCCCCTCTTCCCCACTTTAATTGAAATTCAGCTTGCTCTAACACCTCCTTTCTCCTGGCCAACTGGATCTCTCCGTTCACACAAGGGAGAGGAACAAAACAGAGAAGGCCCCCGGGGATTAGGGAGTTTTGACAGCTGTCCAAGAGGAGCTCCGAGATACGGGCCAAGTGCTGAGGCAGGGCAGAGACAAATGAGAGACAGAAGAGAGTGACGGGGGAGGGAGAGATGGGCAGGGAGACATCGCAAGAGGAATGAGCGGGACAAAGAGTCACAGAGACAGGCAGAGATGTTTAAAGGGGCGCTGAAGAGGGGGAAAAGGAAACGAAAGGCTCTAAAAGAGAGGAACTAAGGTGAGATGGTGAGGAAAATGCGAGAGGCTCAGGAAGGGAGGGAGACAGGCGAGAGCTTTGTCAGGAAGGAGGGGGAAAAGTCCAGCCTCTAGGGACAGGTCAGTGCAGCTCCGGGACCGTCTGAAGAGGACGCGGGCGGGCAGCGCGGGGTTTCCTTCACACGCCTGGGTGCGGGGTGGGGCGGAGGGCGGCAGCGGGGGAGGAAGCACGAGCGCGCGAGCCGAGAGACTAGGGCGCGGGGCCGCGGCGGCGGAGCCCCTGGGCGAGCCCGGCGGCCCCGCACTCGCCCGGCGGCCCCGCCCCCTCCTCGGCCGCCTCCTTCGCCGGGGCTTTTCCTGCGGGGCTCAGGAAGCCGGCCTAGCACAGCCCCGAACAATAGCTCGCGGCTCAGGCTCGGCTCCGGGAGAGGCCGGCGTGCGGCCACGGGGGAGGGAGGCGTCTGCGCCGCGGGTGGCCCGCGCCGAGCGGCCGGCCGGGGCCGGGGCTTCAGTTCGGCTTCGCGCTGCCCGGGTCATTGTTGGCCGGGACTAGGGAGCGGGAGCCGGGGGAGGAGCCGGAGAGGCGGCGGCGGGAGCCAGAGGGGGAGCCAGAGAGCGAGGGAGGGAGGCAGCGAGCGAGAGAGCGAGGGAGGGAGGAGGTAGAGAGACAGGGAGGGTGGGAGGGAGGAGGAAAAATAAAGACGAGAGCAGAGCAGGGCTGAACAATAGAGACAGGCAGACGGTCGAGGAGGAGAGCCAGCTGCCGCTGCTGAGGGAGAGCGGGCGCCCAGGCAGCCCGGACCCCGGCCCCAGCCCGGCCCCGGCCAGACAGCAGGCGGCCAGCGCCCGCGGGGAAGGAGGACCATGGGGGAGCCAGCGGCAGGCGCCCCCAGCCCGCCGCGCGCCTCCGCCTGAGGGAGGCTGGGCGTCCTCTGCCCCAGCCCTGCCGCCCCAGCCGCCTGAGCCGCCCGAGCCGCCCGCCCTCGAAGCCGCGAGTCCGCTGGGTCTGCGGCCGCGGCCGCTGCGCCCCGCGCCCTCCGCCCAGCGGGCGCCCCGCAGCCCTCGGCCCCGGGCTCGGCCGGCCCCGGCTGCCCGCGGACGCCTCCCCCAGTCATGAACCCCCCGGAGGGGGCAGCGGAGGAAGGAGGAGCAGCCGACTCGGACGTGGACGCCTTTTTCCGGACAGGTAAGCTGGGCAGGGCGCGGGCGGCCCGGGGGAGGGCTGCTGCCTGGGACGCGGCGCGTCGGACAAGTTTGGGGAAGGAGGGCTGTTGCTGGGGTGTGCGTGTCGGGGGTCAGTCCTCGTCGTCGGGCTGGAGTTGCCGAGGTTCTTGTTGTTATGGCAATGCTGCTTGCGTTTTGCGGAGGGGTGGGGGCTGGGAGACAGGCACCCCTCGGCGTTCACCCCACTTGCGGGAGTCAGTGTTGGGGAGGCGCGAGGCGGTCCCCTCGGCCGCCTGCTCCCGGAGCGCGGGGATGGGGCGATGTTGGATCACTTTGCAGCGCGCGGCGCAGCTACCGGCGTCCCCGGCCCCTCCCTCGGCTCCCCCCTCCCCCAGCGCCTGTCAGCAAGCCTCCGGCCGCCCCGGGTGGGCACCCCTTCTCCGGCCAGGGGCCCGGGGCCCTGACGCGTAGAGTGGGGCAGCGGGGGACCGGGAGTCGCGCACGCTGCTGACAGTCAGCAGCCTTGCGGACCAAGGACGGTCATGCCTGGTGCGTGTGGGGAGCCGGCGTCTCCCACTTGAGAGGCAGACGGGGCTGGGAGTGCAGTGGGCGCCTCGGACCTCCTCCGTGTCCTCCTCTTTTCCAGTTCTGGGAACGGATGAGCTTTTCGTAAGAACCACTCATTCCTGGAAGTGTGAGTTAGCGTCCTCCTCATACACACCCACTGAATCTTTGCTTGCCTGTGGTATATAGAGCCCCAGATTTGTCTTTACAGCTGTTCGAGGTTCCTGCCCCCTCCCATTCCCCCAGGTCTGTAGCTCTTCTTGTCCCCTGGCTTCACAGCCCCTTCCCCAGAACAGACCCCCTCGTCTCCCACCACCTGTGGCCCTGTTTCTCCGCCGGCCAGGGATTCCCCGTCTCCCATTTACCTGTGGCTTCCAGCAGTTCCTCATCTCCCACGTCTGGAACCATTTTGTCTGGAATCTTTGTCCCAAGGAGTCCGATAAGTTATGGGGAGGCTGCACATCTGCCCTGTCTTTCCAAAAGTTGGATTAGAGGACATGAACTGTTGGGGTCAAGGATCAAGTTAGCTCTGAAGGCTCTCTGCACATCCATCTGTTTCCTAATCTCGTTGCCTTGCCCTAGAGGTCATCTCTAGGGAAGAGGGTGGGGTGCTTTGCTGGGGAGACTTGTGGCTTTGGAAGTCAAGACTTGTTTGGCCCATATGTTCATTTTCTGGTTGGTCAGAAGAGGAAAGAACTGGAGGACAGGAGCTGATTGATGCCAGGACCTGGAAAAGGCAGAGGAAACCCCTGTTATGCTCTCCTGCTTCCCAGGGCTCAGCCTCACTTCTTTCCCTCCTTCCTTTTCCCCAGACCTGCATTCTATATATGCATTCTTAACCCCCACCCCACCCCCCCATCAGTCTTTATCTCTTGCACTCACACACTCACTCACACTGCCCAGGACCCAAACATGGTTTCTAAGGAGGCTCTTGACCTAAGTTTATAACCTGGCATCTAAGGGAAAGGTTCCCTGGCCTAAGTGATAATTGGAAACACTTGCCAGGAGGTCTCCCCTGACATCCTCCCCCACCCCCACCCCCCTTGCTTCCCATCTCTGGCCAAATCTGTCTTTTCTTAGCTCTAGAGGAAAAATAACTCTTGGAATGTGAGCCTTCCCACCTTCCTTTTCTGGACCCCACTTTCATCTTTTGGCAACCACTCCTCCTTCCCCTTTCCTCCCAATCTAAATACTAGTTCCTGTCCATTCTCTGTCCCAGGCCCTTGGAGCTGAGTTCTGTTTCTGGAGGTTTGGTAATTTCACACAGTGTTAATGGTGTTAATGGCCTATAATGGTCCAATGTGTTACTTTTCCCAGGGCCTTACAAAATACAATGTGTGATTTACATTGATTGTCTAGCCCTGGCTCACATCAGAGAATAAATATCAGACTGGGGTCTGTCTCTTGTGGTACTCTTGTTGAGGATATTCTCTTTCCTCCTTGGGTAGCCTTTTTTCTTTTCTTTTTCTTTCTTTCTTTTTTTTTTTTTTTTTGGTTGGGGGTGGCCTGGAGGTCTGATGTGTACTTAGAATCAGAGAAAGGTTAAATTCTCATTGAATAAGGCTGGAAATGTATGGTGGCCTTTAACAAGTTGCAAGTGGGGTTGTATACTGCCAGGGGCTGCGTCTAGGACTGTCTCCCTCCCATCCCCCAACAGGGGTCCTCTGTGCTCTGCTTCCTGATCTTACCTCTTCTAATTTCTAGCCGGGGCTCTTACTAAGGATTCTTAAGCCTGGAATAAGGCCATATTTTGTAACCTTCTCCCTTCTGATTCTCCATCTTTATGGAACAGAGCGCTGCACCTGGGAGTCCAGACAGATTATACATTTATTCAATCGAACCACCGAGAAAACTTCAAACACATTTTCAAAGTCCCTAGCACTAAAGTTACCCCTTACTTCCTGGTGGAAAATTTTACATGCATAGTGACCAGACTGGCAATTGCTTTGCCAAAACCCTGGCATACTCTGCTTCTAATAAGGCATGTTACGAGTAATTCTATCATTTTGATCCCTTACTTGTCCTCTTCTGATTATTTTGGTATTTCAGTTCTCTTGACCAACTGAGTAAGCTAGATTCCCTAAATCTCAAGTCCCTGCATGTGCACACGCACACACACGTGCACACAGGTACCCTACTATTCTTTTACATGCACACAGGTACCCACTATTCTTATAGATTGGTGGATTCCATCACAATAATTTTATTGATCATTTTTATGATGTAGAGGAGGTGAAATATGGGAACTGGGAATAGAAACCAGTCAGAATAGAAAACCAAAAAGGACTTTTCAACTCCTACTAGGAGCCTTCTGCTGTCCAGGGTGCTGTGGAATACAAACGAAATATTCAGAGTGGTCTTTGACCTCAAAGAACTTTTAAGAAGAGTTTGACAATTATTGCTCACTTGGAGATTAAGTAATTGGTAAACATTATGGTTCTATAAGATAAAAAGTTGACAGAACTATAGATGAGGTAGAATCAAAGGTACTCCTTGAAGGGGCTGGAGAGTGGGAGGAACAACACAGGTAAAAGGAGAGAGGAGTTTGGGGCATTGGCATTGAGGTTCCTGGACACCAAATAGAAGGGGTAAGTTAGGGAGTTATAGGACATAAGGATAGATAAGTGGGGCAGGACAAGGTAGGGAGAGTCTGGGAAGTTCAAAAGAGAATTTGGGTTTGATTCAGAGTCAGTAGATTCTTGAGCAAGCTACATCCTGAGCAAAGTGGTATTTGGAAAGGTTAACCTGGGGGTAATGTGATTGATGAAATGGAGAAAAGAGAGAGAGAATCTAGAGACATAGGATGCTGATTCAGAGCTGAGTGGGAGGGAGCTTGGTCTGGGTTGGTGGCAAAAAGGATGGGGAGTCAGGGACAGCTCTGAGAGACATTTTTAAAGGCAGAACTGTGGAGATTTGTTGACAAACTAGCTATCAGGGGAAGAAGAAAAGTAAGCCCAGGAAGAAATGGAGTTGAGAGTGTGGAGGACTAATAGTGTGCTGACTGACATGTCTGACTGAGGACAAGAACCAGTTTGCAGGGGAGATAATGATGTTGGCTTTGGAAGTGATAACTAGGGATGACTGACAGACAGCCAGTTGGAGCTTTTTTGTGGAAAAAAAAAAAAGGGGGACTCAAGACAGGAGCATAGGCAGGAGATTCGGGCTGGTGATGTGGACTTGAAAGCCTTCTGGGTCAAGGTTGGGTGCACCTGAAGCTTTGGCTGTCGGATGGAAGGAGTAGGGGGAAGGGGTAAGGACTAAAGTTAGAATTTGGGGGGAAAACCCTTATTTGTAACATGGCAACAAAGGAGACTTGATGCTGGAGACCCTAGGGAGTCTATGTGGGTTCTCATGTGAAGACAAGCTGCAGACAGGTTAAGCAAGAAGAGCGCTAGATAAGTGTCACTGGATGTGATGAACATGAAGCTACTGTGACCTCTTGGGAGCCCAGTATTAGAAGAGACAGAGTAGGCATGTGGGGTGGTAGGTAGGAACCCATTACTTGCATGGTTTATCCGTGAAAGGAAAAAGAGGTTGGGTGCCAGTCAGAAGAAATGTTAGAATCAAGAAAAGGAGTTTTCTTTCTTTCTTTCTTCCTTCCTTCCTCCCTCCCTCTCTCCCTCTCTCCCTCTCTCTCTCTCTCTCTCTTTCTTTCTTTCTTTTTCTTTTTTTTTTTTTTTGCCAAGGAGTCAGAAGAGGTTTGTAGGTGGAAGGAAGAAAGCTTATAGACAGGAAACACTGAAGGTGCTAGATTAATTGTTGTGTTAGATACCTGGAGAGGTGAGACAAGAGCTTAGTTTTGGTGAGCAGAGGAGAAAACTCCTTTTTTGAGACTTAAAGGAAAAAAAAGTGTTGAGAGTATAAGTGAAAAGAGATTGATGTGGAAATATCTTCTACCTCTACCTTTCTGTTGGGCTTTGGTCCTGTGAATCCACACAGTTTCATCTGGAGTCTTTGCTGCCATGTGACTTCAGCCAGCCCTAGACTCAGTTCTGTATGTCTTTCCAACTCCCCACACTAGCTCCTTCTCTTGTGTTCCTTAATTCTGTGAGCGGCATTTCATCTCTCCTCTCCCAGTCATGATAATTGAAACCTTGGTATTGTCTGTGAGGAGTTTCTTCCCTCTAATCCTATTGAATTATCTTTCATCGTCATCCCTTGTTCATCTACAGCCTCTGCTCTAGTCCAGGACCTGTTATGTTGCCCATGGCCTCCTTTCTTGTCCCATGGAATGTGCTTTCTCACCCCCACTCCAGATTGGCACCTGCAGGCAGATGGCACTAATTTTATCACATTGCTGCCCGGTTTATGAACCTACAATGACTTCCTAGTGTCCAGTTCGTACTTCATCGCTCACCTGCTCTTCTCACTTCCTGAGGGCATCATCTACCCCCGCACCCCCACTCTCCAAATCCAACTCATTCTTCAAAGACTTGAGCCCCTCCCCACTTCTTCTGG